TGGGCAAACCAAGGCAAAAGTGGAGCAAAAGTGAAGCAAAAGAGCAAGAAATAAAAATTCTCTCACAGATTAGCCACTATTCGGTATTTGGATCATATCTCGGCTTAGGTATATCCAAATGAAGTGATTCTTGCGACATTGGAAAGAAGACGTAAAGTGATACAATTCTTACGAAGAGATCAAAGTCTAGACATAAGGGAAAAGGGTCAAAATAAGCCTACAAACTGAACCTACGTCACATAGATTAAGGAGATCTGAACCTGAAGATTTGACGCGTCGAAAAATTTCAGTTGCCGAGTCTGAGCGAGAGTTCAAGATTCGACGCATCGAAAAATTCCAGTAAGCTACATGAAGAAAGAAGAACAAGACTCGACGCGTCGAATATTCGTCCTGTGTGAAAATTGGACTGTGCAGAAATTCCTATTCTACCCTTATTTGGCTCCCGCAATAAATGGTCCATCTTCCTCAAACCCTAGGGGTTAAGTTGCGTTTTTGGAGACAAAAAGAGTGAGAGCTACGCTTGGAGAAGAGGATATCACATCAAGAGCTACAAGTTACATTGGAAGAACAAGGAAAAGCTAGGAAGATTCGGGAGAATTTCTTCCCCTTTTCTTTTACTTTCTTTGTTGCTTGTGAACTCCTTGATATTATTATAATGAATGCTATTCTAGCCATGAGTGGCTAAAATATCTTAGGGATTTTCGGGTGAAAGTGTTTATGAATTTATGTGCCTAGTTCTTAAATTCATTAATATATTTACATTTGGGTTTTATAGCGTGTGTTGCAATTGTGTTCTATTTTGTTGATACTAGTAATTAAAGGCCTAAATAACTCGTTTCATTGCTATATTTATGTTTTAATGGGAGTTAGGACATATTTTAGAGCACCCACAAATCCACAATTGCATTTGACTATTGCACATTGGGAGATGACATATTAGTTAAGGATTTATCTTGAATGCTTGTTCTTGAATTGTTTGAGTGTTTATATCATGGGTATGAATATTCACATGCATTATTTTAGGTTGGAATTATGAGAGTGATTCCTTCCCTTGTATGCATTCTCACACTTGTTTGAACCCGAATTAAATGTTGCACTTTAGATTGGCACTAGGGAATTAAACACTTTGAACCCCAAAAATCCCCCTCTTTCTCTATTGTTTTCATCAACCTGCTACCTTGTTCTTTTTTAATTAGTTTTGCCTTTACAATCAAGCAATCACCCTTTTCACTAGGATTAGCTTCTCATGAATAGATTAGCAGCTAGTGCTTGATACGCACCGCTTCCATGTGGATCGATAACCCGATACTCTGAGTATTTATTTGTTTGTTAAATATACTGCAACCAAATTGGCGCCATTGCTGGGGAAGTGAGATTTAAGTATTGACATTAGTGAAAGTTTTATTGTAGGAGTCAAATCCACCATTTTTCTTTATTTTTGCTAACCGATAACAAATTGCTTTTGTTTAGTTGTGATCTTTTCGTTAAGGTGCTTGGTGTTGTATGCACACACGATCCTTGGGGAAAGAAGGATTATTACCTTTGGACCTTGGGATTGAAAAGAGAGCCAAGTGTCTTAGAAAGCAAAGAAGGATGGCACAGGGACAATGAAACATCAAATTGAATCTCAATGGAGATGTTGATGGCAATGGAGTCTGTTAGTTTTCACAGCCTTGATGGTCGCTGGACTAGCCAACACTACCGAAGAGATGTGCTTGCAAGATAATGAAAACGAGAGATAAAGTATTAGAGAGAGAGAAAATAATGTGATATTGTTTCTCTAGGGTTTTGCCCTCAAAAGTGCCGATCCGATACATGGTGATCTCTTGGGGATATTTATACATGAGTATGAGGTTCATACAAGGTAAGTAGCGTTGACGTAAAGCCAAGTCTAAAGGTGGGATATGGCTGATGTAGGGCTGACGTAGGGTTGATGTAGTTGCTTACTTACTACCATAAACCGTCTAGACTAATTAAGGAAGCTACTTAAATGAATGAAGATAGCCTCCGCCGCCGTGGGGATGCCTTCAGGGGCTCCCGCATCCGGGCAAGGACACTTTGCCTGCGGAGCCTGGTCGCCCGATCGAAGTTCCGGAGCAGCGCACGGTCGGGGACACACCGCACACGTAGCCTGGTCGTCTATCTGAATCCCGCGGGATATTCAGCCGAAGACACACCGACCACCGAGGCTGGTCACCCAACCGAGTCTCACTTGGGAGCCCACCCGAGGACGCACCGGCTGTTGAGACTGGTCACCAGAGGATGAACAATTACCGTCGTAAGACGCCTTACACGGTTAGGAATGGCAATGGGGCGGGGTGGGTGCGGGGGACATATCCCCCACCCCCGCACCCGCATTTCCAACCCACTCTCCGCACCCGCACTCGCACCCGCGCGGATAATGAAAATCCTACCCCATACCCGCCCCCGCGGGGATTTTGCGGGTGCAGGTAATACCCAACCCGCAACTCTAATTATTTATATTACACTTAAATCTAATAAAAATCTTATACTACAATTGTAATTATCACATTGATTTTTTTTTATAAGTTTGAACATCTAAAATTTAATAAGAGCCAATGAAGTTAGTTCTTAATTGGAACTAAAATTGTGTTGATAGTATAAATTGTATTAAGTGTTTACTCATTAAGTTATTTGTGTTGTTTCTATTCTAATTTCATAAACAAAAAACTAAGAAGTTTAATTAATTATACATTTTCAATTATAAAATATATATAAACTTATATAATAAATGAATACTAATAACAATATATATAAGTGCGGGCGCGGGTGCGGGGCGAGGATACCCCCCCCCCCCGCATCCGCCCCCATACCCGCGCGGGTATATAAATTTCCCCCCATACCCGCACCCATTACCCAAATTGTGCAGGTATTTTAAAACCCATAGGGGCAGGGATGCAAGGAACCCGTTGGGTGTGAGTAGAATTGCCATCCCTATACATGGTGGGTGGGAGGGGCCCTGGAGATCCTCCACCTGCTAAGTATCAAGCCACACCTTGACCCGGCTGCCTTGCTAGGCCTTCCCGTCCGGCCGACTATTTTGGGGTATCAATCAGAGTCAATTAACCACAACCCCCGGGGAGAGCCATGTCAGACTACATTGCACCCGATGTTGAGAAGCATGATAGCATTAATGTTTTGGGTGTGGAGGCTAATAGTTTCGATATCAAGACGGCCATTTACAAATGGTCGCTTTCAATCAATTTGGAGGGTCGCCAATGGAGGATCCCAATGCTCATATCACAAAATTCCTGCGGATTTGTAATACATTCAAGATCAATGGAGTTCCTCATGAAGCCATTAAGCTCCGACTCTTTCCCTTCTCATTAAGGGATAAGGCTCATAGTTGGCTCATCTCACATCTTGCCAGTCATTTTGTTACTTGGGACTAAGTGCATAGGGAATTCTTGAAGAAGTTCTACCCAATTTTCAAGACTCAAAAGCTGAGGGGAGCAATCCAAAATTTCAAGCAATTGGCAAGTGAATCTCTAGCCGAGTCTTGGGAGAGATTCAAGGAGTTAAGAAGGAAATGTCCACACCATGACATCCAAAGTTGGGATTTGATGATGGTCTTATATGAAGGTTTTCTTGACAACTCATGGGTCTTAGTTGGTGCTTCCTCTAGTGGATTATTCACGATCTTAGAGCCTACTCAAGCCGAAGATCTCTTGGAAAAGATTGCCACGAATGGCTCAACTTGGTACTAGGAGAGATCTTCTCAAAGACTTGGAGGAAGAATTCATGAGGTAGAGCAAATTTCCACTTTATCAGCTAAGGTGGATAATGTGGCTACTATGGTGCAAAAGTTAGCTCACATCACTCTTCACAATCATAAGGTAAGCTATGCTTCTACTCCTTCTACTCCACCGAGACAAGTTTTGATGTGTGATCTTTGTGGTGGAGGACACAATTTGGGAGAATGCCTTAATGATTTGAGTTCTCAACCAGCCATGGAACATAATGATTTGGTTGGATACAATAGGCCACAATAATCCTTTCAACCTCAAGGGGCCTATAATCCCAATACCTCAAGGAATCATCCCAGTTTTTCTTGGAGCAACCCAATGGGGGCAGCAAATCCCCAAAATTTTGGTAATAGAGGACCACCACCACCGGGATTTCAAGGGCAACAAGATTTTAGAGGAGTCCCACCACAACAATATGGACATAACCATGGATTTCAAGGTAATACTTCTCAACCAAGGCCACCATTACCTACTTTGGAAGCCCCACCTCCTCCGAATTGGGAATATATGATGGACATGATGCTCAAATTCCAATTACAAAGTGAAGAGAGATACAAACAAATGGTCGAGAAGTTAGATCAATTGAGTGTTCATAACAAGATGTTGGAGAGACAAATTGCCAACCAAGCATCTACTTCTTACACTAAAGTCACCGGTAAGTTGTCTGCTTATCTCGAGAATCCAAGAGAGCATGTCAATGCCATTGTAACAAGAAGTGGCAAGAAACTTGAAGAACCACCTCTTCTGGTTGACAAGTCAAGGCCAGGTAAGTCTATTGATGTGGAAATTGAAGAGAAACTTGAAGAAGAAAAATCTGTCCCTCCAGTTTTGAATCCAAATCAGCAAGGTCATGAATTTGATGATAGAGAGAAACCCGAGAGGAGGTATGTACCACCACTACCATTCCCTCAAAAATTTCAAAAGCAAGTCAAAGATAGTAGATGGACTAAGTTCTTGGATTTAGTAAAAAATTTAGATGTTTCTATCTCTTTGCTTGATTTGCTCACTCAAGTTCCTTCCTATGGAAAGTTTTTAAGGGATATTCTCTCCAAAAAGAGAAAATTTGGTGATCAAGAAATGATTTCAATGACACAAGAGTACCGGTCCCGAACACATGAAGAAGGAAAGTTTCATACCAAGCATTGAGATCCGGGAAAATTTACAATCCCATGTGTAATTGGTGGCTCAACCATTAATAGATCACTTTGTGATCTAGGAGCAAGTGTTAATATAATGCCCATATTTCTTTGCAAGAAGCTAAATTTGGGAGAGCCACAACCGGTCCAATTCACACTTCAATTTGCTGATCGGTCAACAAAGAGCCCTATTGGAATTCTTGAAGACGTCCCAGTCCCTGTGGATAAGTATTTTGTGCCTTGCGATTTTGTTGTGATGGATATTAGAGAAGATCCCAACATTCCAATCATCTTGGGGAGACCTTTCTTAGCCACAACGGGAGCCATAATTAATGCAAGGAAAGGATCAATGACTTTTTATTTTAGAGATGCGAAAGTTTCCTTCATTGTTCTTGGTGAACCAAATTCTCATGTTGTTGGAAGGTGTTACATCGTTGATGAGATTGATAGCAAGACTCTTCACGAAGATGAACATCTTGATCCCCATGATAAGAGATCATTTAATGAGCATGAAATGTGGAAAAGTTTCTTAAGTGATAGGAGGGACTAATTTTGCACATATGGAAAAAGGATCTCATGGTGGAGACAATTGCAGAAATATCTGAAATTTTATCTGGAGATAAAGCTCAAGTTATGCAAGCCAACCTCAAAGATTAGGAGGTCTTGAGAAAAGAGTACCTTTTGACATTCAAGACTAGTGTGGAGCATTTCATTGAGGCTGTTGATAGTAATAGCCTCATGGATCATTCGGGATGACTTTGCCAACAGGTTACGTCGAGCTAGCGATGTTAAACTTGGCGCTTCTGGGAGGCACCCCATGTTATCTTTCATTTTCATGCATTTCTTTTTATTTGCAATTTAGTTTTTTTCCCTATGTTTCTTTATGCTTTTATTTACCGCACTTTAGGTTATTTTTTCTCTACCTTTGCTAAGCATTAGGGACATGCCCTTTCGACAGCTCATAGGGGGTTTTATCAAACCGTTTATGAGGTACTCTAATCAATATGTGGTTTGCTGTTAGAACAGCTTCCGCCCACAAAGAGTCTGGAGCACCTGAACTGATAAACATAACATTGATCATTTCGTTCAGAGTTATGTTTTTCCTCTCAGCTATGCCATTTTGTTGGGGAGTATAAGGAGCAGTTATCTCATGAATAATGACAAAAGATTCACATAGATTTTTCAGGAAATTTGCTTCATATTCACCGCCTCTATTGGATCGAAGCCATGTTATCATTTTGTCTAATTGGTTTTCTACTTCAGATTTAAAAACCACAAATTTTTGTTCGGCTTCATCCTTTTATCTCAAAAGGTAGATTTTCGTGAAACGAGAAAAGTCATCAATAAATGTAATATAGTAACGTTTTCCACCTCTACTTTCAGTTGTTTTGAAATCCGCTAAATTAGTGCGAATGAGTTCTAACACAGATAAGTATGATGATTTACAGCTGAAAACGATTTTCTAGCAAATTTGGCTTCAGCACAAGTTTCACATTGAGTGCATGTATCATTGGACAGTTTTGGAAGCATATTCATGTTTTTCAATCTATTTAAACACTTTGTACCAATATGTCCTAATCTACCATGCCAAACATTAATGAGACAGTGATATAAGCAGAATGAGAAACATTATTATTATCATTGCTTGGTCCATGCCAATTCTGGATAAAATCATAAATGGTTAAGGGAGACACATTTACATCAGGGTGATTTCTAATTACAATAACATCTAACACAAAAAGTCCTCCACGCAGATATACCTTCCCAAGAAATTTCCCACAGCCAGTTAAAACCAGACAATCAGACTAAAAAACCATCTTAACTCCGACCTTTCTGAGCAGGCCCCCAGAGATTAAGTTTCTATAGAGGGAAGGGACATGCAACACATTGTGCAACAATAATTGTTCCCCAGAATATAACACGAGCTCTACTTTTCCTTTACCACTTACCTGGGATACACTGGAGTTCCCCATGAACACTTGTTCGTCTCCAGTGATAGGCTCGAACACCTTGAACAGATCCTGCTCCCGTGTCCACAACCCGCTCTTCTGGATCTCCAACCATGTTGGCCTCGATTATTACAGCTGCTACTATTTGAAGATTTTCCGTGTTTTCCAGTAGGTGTGCTTGGTTCTTAGGCCCATCATTGTTTGGTTTTTGCACATTTTGACTGGTAGCCCCTTTCCGGTGATAACATTGTGCCGCACGGTGGCCTCATTTCCCACAAACGAAACACTGACTACTTTTGCCTTTTTTTTTTCTTTTTTTTTTTCTTCTGAATTTTTCCTTTTTTTAAGTGATTATTATTGATATTTTTTGAGTTCCTCTTTTGGTCACCTGCTTTAGGCTTGTCAAAGCCAACATTCGTTTCAACAATGTTAGCTTTTATATTATTAGTAAGAGAAGCATACCTTTATACTAGGCGATTTTCTTCAACTATATTCAGACTATAGATCTGCTGTAGAGTGTAGTTTCGGCATTCGTGCTTCATTTTGTTTTTGAAGTCTAGCACGATTCAGGCAGCTTATCAATGAGAGAATCAGACAAAAAGGCATCACTCACCTCGGCTCCTTCTGCCAACATGTCTGCAACCAAAATTTTAAAATCGTGTACCTGTTCAACGATGGATTCGGAGTCAGACATGTTGAAGTTCAGCCACCGTCCCACGTCATATTTTCTCCTACCGGCATCATCAGTGCCTTACTTTTGTTGTAATAAGTCCCAAATGACTTTGGTGGACTTTTGGCCAGAAAACATGTCAAACAGTGAGTTTGTCATGCGTTGAAGGATTGTTGCACGAGCTGTCTTATTGGCCTTTTCGTATTTGGCACAATCCTCTGGGGACACACGCACAGTCTTCGATGCAGATGACTTCGGATCAGGTGAGGCATCAAGACTGGTGACTTGCGATGCAGTTGGCGTAGCTGAAGGATCAGCGGACATCGTGAACTTTGCAGGATCCTCATAAATGACGTAATCCACGTGTTGTGATTCTAAAAGCATGATAATCTTCACAGCCCATCTTATGTAATTGAGACCACCAGTAAGTGGCTCGATTATGGCGATATCAGAAGCTGGTTTCGATGGTTGAGACATTGCTAGTTTCCTTGTTAAATGCTTTTAATTGTTGTGCGCAGGAACGCAAGTAACGAATTGGAAACGAAGGTAACAATGTAGTACGTTGTGATACAAATGATTAATGTAGGCTGGTTAAAATCTGGACGAAAAGAAAAGACAGGTTTTGTCTCGTGTTTTCCAACACTACCTTAAAAGCATTTAATGACCAGGGTAATCGTTATGCTTTTGACAGGTTTTCACAGAATGAACATGCTCAGGCTTTCGAATAGGATGTGCGAAGAAGAAAGATTTCGTATCTCTCTATCCAGAGGTGTTGAGGGAAGCAATATATATATACTAACAATATAACTACTTCCCTACTGCTAGCCAAAAAAGAAGGGCGAGAAGGGTGGTGATGTGCTGACCATGAAGACACGTTCAACATTAACAAAAGGAAGATGCGAACAAGTTGGATAGATGATCCACAAAAATAAGACTTGAAAATTTGACCAAGTAACAAAAGGTTAACACACCACATCTCGTACACGTGCAGCAATACGCACATGGTCTCCCTTTATTTCCTTTCCATAACTCTTCAAAGCTTCTAAGAAGAGTTGAAGTATAAAGAGAAGGAATATGTGGGTTATCAAAGCAATGTGGGACAACACATAAAGACAAAACTCAATAAATGCCTTTGCCTTTAAATGTTTCCTAACAACCAACACATACATTTTTGCTGAGTGCACTAATTGTGATTTGACAATTGTTGTTGTGTCACGAATTGTTCTGTTATGCTTCATGGCAATGTGAACCATCATAAATTAAAAGAGCATTTATTGATTTTTTCTTGATGGAAATAATTATTTGCTATAGGCTATAAATGTTGAAATTTACCTCACTTTTTATATATGAAACTATATCATGAATTCTAAATGTAGCTTTGCCCTGAAGGTGAACTAATTATAGGATAACAACATGACGACAAATTATATAACTCCAGTGTAAAATTGACTTGATACAAATTCAAAATTCAATTATTATTTGTCCAAATTAAGGTCTATTTGTGGTGCTAGTTTTGGTTTTTTATTTTTTTATTTATTATTATTATTTTTTTATTTTTAATTTTATTACATAAATTATTTGATATGAGTCTTGGACATTAAATTTTCCACATATCTTGAGATTTAAATAAAATGATAGTCCCCAAATTTTTAACATGATTTTGCCCATAAGGTAAACTAAAAGCACTCATTTTTCTCTGTCACCCCTTTTATCACAACGTTAATAACTAAAATGGTCCCTCGACTATGTCATAATTACCACTTTAGTCCTTGACTACCATTCTTACTCAATTAAGTCCTCGACTATGTAATATTTACCTAATTTAGTCCTCTGTTAATTTCTCTGTTAGTTGGCAGTCAATAATGAAGGCAAAATTGTCATTTTTCACTTTCTTCAATCTCCTTCCTCAGGATGAACATAAGATATGTGTGGGGCAACATAGAGAGACAAGGACAACAAAAAAGAATACTGATTATTGTGTGTCGTTTGTTTGAACTTTGTATGAAAAACAACGCAGGAAACAAGGTGGTCTGCTAGAGAGCCGCGTCCGTCGATGGGGATCCATAGCTTCGTCTTTGTGCTATGTTCGAGTGCCCCACACATATCTTATGTTCATCGCGAGGAAGGAGATGAAGAAAGTGGAAAATGACAATTTTTCCCTCATTATTAACAGCCAACTAACAGAGAAATTAACGGAGGACTAAATTAGGTAAAAATTACATAATTGAGGACTTAATTGAGTAAGAATAGTAGTCGAGGACCAAATTGGTAATTATGACATAATCGAGGGACCATTTTCGTTATTAACTCCAACCTAAATAATGAATATTTGTGTCAATCCCTAAAGGATTGTTATGACCAATGAATTTTCATAATCTTCCATTGTCTAAATTTGAGATTTTAAGATGTTAAATCTGTCTTTAAATATGACCAGTACGTACAAACAGTATTGTTTCACAAGTGAAACTCTATAAGCAGAACATTACAGAGACAAAATTAATAAAAAGACTCCATCAGTCTTCTAGACTAGTCATCTTGTATTCCAGTACTACATGACAATATCATACTAAGTAGTGTAAGACTCATTCTCTTTAGGCTAGTCACCTTGTACTTGAATAGTAGTACATAAATAAATATTATACTAAGTATTTTGAGTGCCATTGAGTTTTTGAAAGGAACATCAAAGACTTAAGGATCCGTTTATTAACTAGAAAATTTATCTAGTTTTCTAATAAAACTGGAGAACTAGAGAATGAAAACAAAAAACATGTTTACTAGCACAGTTTCCATTTTGAAAATTGAAAAACATTTTTCAATTTTCTAGAAAACTAGAGAACTTTAAAAAACTGTTTCCTAAATGGAAAACAAAATCATCTATCATCTATTTGATTATATATTACTTTAACCACATTCTCATAATTATCTACTAAC